ACTATAATACAACCCAACAAGATAACGCCAAACAAAACCGAGACAGAATGAAACAAAATTGGAACAACAAAAAATCATTATATCAGCCTTTCTATCCTCCTGAAATGTCCATTCATTAGTCCTTTCTCCCTATCTGTTCCTCAGATGTAAGCGGTTTTTCTTCCATCTYACWCATCTCCAGGGACAGGCAACTTTAAACAAAAGTGAAGCAAAACAAAAGAAGAATCTTAAAATCGCTACCCATCCTCTCACCCTGCCCTCAGGGGCGAGCAGTTTACCTTATCACTTACCCTCAGTCTTCTCCTTGCGGGTCACCAAATGCCACAGTCTGGCTGGGCACAATTCAGGAGCCACTTGTCAAAAGAAATGAACTTTATTTTTAGAACACACACATCACACCACACAGCTCCTCAGGAAAAACCCTCAGAGCCCAATTGCCACCACCAGCTTCCCACAAGACTTTCAACCTCCCCCACTCCTCCTGCTCTTGAGGCCGATTGGCTGAGTCGTGTGAGCGGAGCCAAAAAAGTCCCCCAATGAGCAGCTCCGTGGTCTGAAAGGGCAGGGAAACAGCCCAATGAGCATCACCGCAGAGGAGCCAATCAGTTGGCAGCTAGAAGTTTGCTGGGGCCGCTGTGAGCCAATCATCAGCTGGCAGCTGGACGTTTGCTGGGGCCCCTTCGGCTGTGACTCTCAACACTTGCCCTTTTATACTGGGTCACTTGAGAGGCTGTTACTTGTCACACTTTTTACAGAAAGTCCTTCCGGTTTTAGGTACATTGACCATCTTTACAGTAGAGGTATCTACATGATGAAGACTGGAGATCTCGTGGCTGGAGCCCTCCCCTCTCCACACTTGCCCCTTATAGGAAAGGGAGGAATGGACGAAAAGAACTAATTCTTGAAGATAGTCAAGCTTTTTTTTTTTTTTTTTTAAACTAGAGATCTAGCCCGCTAGATCTACTGCTGAGCCACATCGCCAGCCCTTTTTGGTTTTTATTTTTGAGACAGGGTCTAAGTTCCTTAGGGCCTTACTAAGTTGCTGAGTCTGGTCTTGAACTTATGATCCTCCTGCCTCCCAGGTTGCTGGAATTACAGGCATGCACCACCACACCCAGCTGACAATTTTTTTTTTTAAATAAATAACAAACAGAGATTTGGTCTAAAGACCAAGCTAAAACAAAGCTACCACAGTTAATTGCTTGGAACTGCATTATATTTATATACATTAARTTGACTATGTAATTCATATCATTTGAAGAGGATGCTTATATATTATTTATGATTTTGTATTTCCCAATCAAGAATATGGTATTTCTACTGCCACTTGGATTTTGAGAAACAGAAACAAAACAAAACAAATAGTTTAACTGTCACCCCCGTGACAATTTATTGATGAAAACTTGAAACGAGAAAGGTGAGCATAAAGTCAGCACACCAAAACCACTTATACCCAGAGATGTTGCCAGTAGCGTACGTACATTTGGACTTTGGTTCAGCCCTGTGTGGAGCAAGAGGGTCAATATGAGGAGTTTTATAGGAAATCTTTCCCACATGAAGCTGGGACACCAAAGGGCTCCATTTTCAGGGATGTGTGGGTAGATCTAAATCCTTCCTCACCCCAAGGAGACTGTGAAAAGTCACCTTGGTCTTCAGCACTGCAGCAGGATGGGGGAACACAAGCCAGGCGATCCTGCCTGCAAATCAGGCCACATGCCAATATAACCAGGTGCAGGAGCCTGGCTTAGCTAAGAAAGCCCTGATGTGGGTTGAGGGACGCTCTGCCTGGCAAAGTCCCTTTGAAGAAAGGCTCATCTCTCTCAGGTTTTGTGAAAACCCCACAAATAAGTTCTCAAGGACAACAAAGAGTAAGTCATTAAAAACAATCAGTGCTCAAGGGGACAGTGAAAACCTGCAAAAACAGATCCACACAGGCTCAGACACAGACTGGAAAACAGCTCGACTTACCATGCTTTAAAAAATGACAAACTTGAAAATACCTTCAGGGAATGAGGAACTATAAAAAGTGATCTAGCAATTTTGAAAAACAACAAAACTAGGATCCTAATTAGAATAAGATGTACTCCATGTTTGTATAAATATGTCAAAATATATACTGTTATGTATAACTAAAAAGAAAAATTAAAAATGCAAAAGAAAAAGAAAAGCAACCAGAACTCTAGAAATACAAAATACAAAAACCAAAATTAAAAACCAATGAGTTTATTTAACAGCAGATTGGTCTCTACAGAAGAAATAGTGTCCCWAAGTATAGATCAGAGGTGCTGAGGGCCATTACCAAGTAGGTATGACGCATCAAAATCTCCTTGCCAGCGTACCCCATGCTGCTTAGGACATTCGATGGGACATTGCATGTATGCTTTAGTAAGATGACCCTGCTCAAGGTGATCGAGGGTGGATCCAGGTTTGAGGAAGTATYCTGCAGGTTTGAGGAAGTATCCCGGTCCTTGGGTTTAAGGCGTTTCCTGGTTTAAGAATATGGGTTTTAGGGAAGTTGAGGTTGAAGATTATGGCTGCTGGGATTAGGGTGTTCCTGCTGCTTGTTCCCGTTGAGTTCTCGTGAGATTAAAATGGGATTTGGAAAAAGCCTCGTGGAGTAGGATTTGGGAACGGACATATTGGGAATTGCCCCTGAACGCGTGTGGAAGCTGGTGTGAGATCCGGAATAAAGAATTGCTGTTTGAACCTACAAAGCTGTGGTGCCTCCTGATTCTGGTGCCCCCCAAGACCTCGGCACAGAGGAAATTATCCTAAATGAAGCACACAGAGAAAAAAAATATTCAGAAGAGAGGGTGTGAGATGCTGAGAGAATAGCGAGAGAAGGCCTACCACTGGGGCTCCAGTTTAAAAAGACAGTGGATGCACATTTCCAAAACTAATGAAAGACAACAATCTACAGATCCAAGAAAGCCAACAGATAAATAAAATCTACAGCTCAACACCTTAATGAAACTGTAGAAAAAACAAAAATAATAATAAAAAAAAATTCTTTATAACAGACATCAAGTTAGGCAGCTGAGCCTGGTGGCACATGCCTGTAATCCCAGTGGCTCAGGAGGCTGAGACAGGAGAATCACAAGTTCAATATCAGCCTCAGCAACTTAGCAAGGCCCTAAGCAACTTGATGAGACCCTGTCTCTCAATAAAATGCAAAAAAGGGCTGGGATGTGGCTCAGTGGTTAAGTGCTCCTGGGTTCAATCCCAGTACAAAAAAAAAAAAAAAAGAAGGTGAATCAAAGACATCTTCAGACAAACAGAATCAGAAGTTTATCAAGAGGAGATTCTAAATGATAAACTTCAGCCAGGCATGGTAGTGCATTCCTGTGATCCCAGCTACTCAGGAGGCTGAGGCAGGAGGATGGCAAGTTCAAGACCAGCCTCAGCTACTTAGTGACATCCTGTCTCAAAAAAATTAAAAGGGCTGGGGATGTAGTTCAGTGGCAGGATATTCCTGGGTTCAATCCCTAGTACTGTGAAATAGAAATAAAAGTTAAGTGTCAAGCAGAAAGACGGAGATCCCACTGATAGGTCTACGGTGCAAGGAAAAACAGAACAACAAAGACAGGAGGAAATAAGGACAAATGGAAATAAACTGACAATACAAAATGACAATCACAATATGTCTAAGCTTTTTAAATTAAGTTTAAAACACAGGGAATAAAATCATAATAAGTCAAGAGAGGATGAAATAAAGAAAAAACCCCACCCAGGAAGAGGGTAAAATATTTAATTTCAAACTTKAATGAGTTATCTATGAATGTTTTAATTTGTAATCACCAAACCATTAGCAAGTATGCAAAATTGTAGGGGGAATTGGAAAGATTTTTTAAACTATTTAAAATAAGGAAAGGGAAAAAAAAAAAAAGACTGGAGACGTACTCAGTGGTAAAGCCCTCCTGGGTTCAACCCCCAGTACCAGATAAAATGAAYAAATAAACAAAATAAAATAAGAGAAGGGGGTAGGGCATAGCTCATTGGTAGCATTTGACTAGCATACACCTGGCCCTGGGTTTAGTCCCCAGCACTGCCAAAAGGGGAAGGAAGGAGAAAAAATAGGCCAAAGAATGAGTTAGAAAGCACAAAATAAGATGGTAAATATTTAGGGACTTTTAGTAAACTAATGTGTGGCGTTAGAAGGCTCAAGTGATAATATACATGCCATGAAGAATTTGGATGTTTTCCTCCAAAGCCAGGCACCCCTCCCAAGCAATGGACAAGCAGCAGCCTTTTCCTGATGACTTCAGCGCCCATTGTGACCGCCCGTTGACATCACACAGCAGATCTCATCCCTCTGAGTCAAGGGGGGTGGTCACATAGCTTCTTCACCTCCCTGCGCGGCTGCTGTGATTTGGGCTCTTGCGTCTGCTTTGCGTAGTGTTCTTCTGTTTCACGGGCCTGTGTGAACTCTGTTCTCTGCAGAGCTGTTTCTGACAAAGCTCAAAGGTTCAGACCTTCACCTACAGAGTTCTAAGGGCCACCCGCGGGGCAGAGGACAGCTCCACCCTTCTTACGAAAGGGCTTTTCCACAAGGGGCATCTCATTTAGATTCCGGGCARTGGGACACTCAACTTGAAGAACAAAGTCTCATGGAGCCAGAAGCCTTAGAAATTTGCCCTTACAATCCTCACCACCGAATCCCACTCAGCAGATTCCAGTACCACCTGGCGTCATGCAGGAGAAAGAACCCCAAGAAAGCCAAAAAGATGGCCAGCTGCAAATACAATGCCTGCCACGTGGTCCCCATCAAAAAGCTGGAGGAGCACGAGGCTGCCTGTGTCAACAGAAGCTCTGTGGAGGAGGAGGACACCCTGAGCCCTCTGAAAGTGAGTCTTCCGAGTTCAGAGCCAAAAGACGACCCCCTGCAGGTCTCTCCCTGGCTTTCCAACCCAGATATCTGGAATGTCGATGGTGCGAACTGCCACCCCATGTTTGTCCTTAAGACTTTTGTTCCCCAAAAGCTTGTTTGTGAAAGTGACACAAGAGAGTCAGAGAGAGAGGAGACCAACCCCCAGAAGATCCTCAGACCAGGAGAGTAAACTGCCAGCAGGAGGAACAACACACATCTCTCAAATGCATGAAAGGATATGCAGCTCATCAGAATAAAAGACATGCAAAGTAAAAGCCCCGATGCTGTTTCTCCCCCATCACCCAGGAGGTTGTTATGGTTAGAATGTAAGTCGACCTCCATGGAGGGCAAGGTGGCAATAGCTACTTGGGCTTTGATGGAGCRGTTCTGCTTCTCGGCCTCCATCCTGGAAATGCACTCACACATGTAGACAACGGGGTAGGTACTGCTATCACTGAGCTGTCCTGCGCAGCAGAGAAAGGTCAGGAATGACCTGACGGTCCACCAGGAGGGCCTGCCTAAGTCAGTTATGGTGCAACCTCCGGGGAGCGAGTACACTGCCGTGAGCCAAGTGAAGAAGCTCTTTGGGTACTGACAAGGAAGGGCTGGCTGAATAGTTCTGTAACTTTGCCAGACTAAACCCRGCAACAACTCGGCCCTGTCCATAGCACAAAAGCAGTCACAGATGGTGTGTTAAAGAGGGAAGGGGGTTCCAATAAATCTATTTACAGAAACAAGCCGTGGGCTGGATTTGGCTGGTGGGAAACAGTTTCCCAATCCCTGAGTTTAACTGATAAAAACCAAATCCAGGGTGATCTGTAGATATGCCACCACTTTTGCAGGGTTGAAGTGGGGGGAGGGATGGGCCTGTGTTCGTACTTATAGGTGCATAAAATTGATCTTCAAGAATACACTAGAACAGGGCTCTCTGCCCGCAAGGCATTAAATATTTACCATCTGATCCCAATAGGAAATTTTCTAACCTTGGGCTGGGGCTGGGGCCCAGTGGTAGAGTACTTGTCTAGCACCTATGAGGCACTGGGCTTGATCCTCAGCACCACATAAAAATAAATAAAATAAAGGTCTTGTGTCCATCCACAACTAAAAAAAGAAAAAAAAAGTTTGCTCATCTCTTCCCTAGTAACTAAGCCCAGTTGCTTCCGGGGAGGACCACTAGTGAACCGCAGGATGGGGAAGAGAATACATGTGAATATTTCTCTGGTCAAAAAATTAAAATATGTGTTTTCAAAAATAGCAGATGGAAGCCAGGCACAGTGGCTTCACTACTCAGAAGTCTAAGGCATTAGGAGGACCACAAGTTCAAGGCCAGCCTGGGCAACTTAGCAAGAGCCTGCCTCAAAATTTAAAAAAAAAAAACAAAAAAGGGCTGAGGATGGAGCTCAGTGGTAGAACACCCCTGGGTTCAATTCCCAGTTCCAAGAACAGAAAAATACAAACAAAAAACCCTAGCAGACAGATTTCTTTTTGAAAAATTTTCAAGAGGAAACCTTAACTGCTAATTTTTGAAGAAATAATCACAACTTTCCGACTACCCCACACTTCTATTACTATTTCACCTGTTTCTATSAATACTTTTTTTTTCCCAAGAAGGAAATTAAGATTTCTTCTTTGGGGGAAAAATAGAGGGACAGAGAAAGTAGTTCTGGGCATTGGCCTTAGGAACTGCGTGATTAAAAAAAAGTACATGGACTAGACAATTGCCATAGAAGAAGCAGAGAACAAACAGCAATGTGGAGAATATGTATCTGTAAACTATGAGCCAATAGGACCAGGAGAAAGAAATTAATCTTGTTTGGGGTATGAAGGAAACAAATCAGTCATGAATTAATCATTGTTGAAGATGAGTGACAGGTACATTTTACCATTCTCTCTACTTTTTTTTTTTTACAAATTTACTTTTTTACTCTATTCACATTTAATTTCTTATTTTGGTACTAGGGATAAAACCCCCAGCTCTGCCCATACTAAGCATATACACTTACCACTAAGCCACACCCCAGCCATCTACTCTTACCTCAGTTTGAAATCTCCCCTGGTAAGAACCGTCTTAAATATATACGAAATGCAGGGGTATCTTCAATTGGAAAGCTGGTGAAATCTGCAGTCTAGAGTTAACAGTGTTAGACCCCAGCCAGCTTCTCGGTTTTGCTAATGCACCATTGTTCCGTAAATACGAATGTTAGGGGTAGTTGGGTAAAGGGTACGTGGGTACTATGCACATGATCTCTGCAAGCTTTCTGTATGTCTAAAATGATTTCAAAATAAAAGGCTTAAACGCAGAGAGCAAAGAGCAACAGGACCAGAATGGACTCTTGAGCCCATTGTTCTGAGTTGAATCCCAGCTCTGCTGCCTGCTGCCTGCTGGACTTCTTCGGGGAGTTACTTAAGTTCTGATTGTTTCTTCATCCACAAAATAGGGACAATGAATTCTTATGATTATGAGGTAGAGTAAATAATTCAACCCATGTAAAACTATCACAAAAGCCCTTAGTGCTGACAACTGTCACAATGGTGGTATTATTCAGCCAAAAAATGTAAGGGGTAAGAGTCAATGATGAAAAAATGAATTTATAAAAAACTTAAGCAAATTTAGTCATCTGAAAAATTAATCAACTTTTGCAATTAARATGATTTTTAAAACTTTTAGACAAAAAAAAAAACACTAGGAGAGGATATCATTCAGGAGGATGGAAACATAATAAATGCATATATTTAAAATTTAAAATAGTTCCTAAAATAAAATATTTTATATTTCTAAAACTAGGCAAAAGGAGAAAAAGGACCAGAGGATTACAGAAAATTTGATAAATTCAATAGTCAAAAGAAAACACCAAATAAAATGGTAAAATATCAATCCCAAAATATCAATAAATCATATAAACGTAAAAGGATTTAACTCACCTATTTAGAAACATTCCATTTAACGCACTAAGTCAAATGCAAGTCAATTCTGATCCACAATAGCCAATACTTTTGAACCAGAAATAGTAGTAAATACCACCAAGTCCTCCCAGCCATAACTAACCAATCACAGCTCTGGAGCCTGGACAATACCCTTCAGAATCCTCCACACAATGCGGAAGGCCACCACACACAGTGACAGAAAGCTCCATCTTGCCACAGCTCCCTGTGGGCAGCTTCTACTCAACGCCCCCTCAAACTTCTGGCCTGACTCAGGGTGTTTAAGGAATAGTCAAAAGAAATATAGGGGGGCTGGGGCCGTGGCTCAGTGGTAGTGTGCTCACCTAGTACATTCGAGGCCCTGGGTTCGATCCTCAGCACCACATAAAAATAAAGTAAAAATATTAAAAAAATAAAATTGGAGTTGGTGGTATTTTCTTTAAAAAAAAAAAAAGAAGAAAGAAAGAAAGAAAGAAAAAAGAAATATAGGGGCATGCCGGGCATGTGGCACACATCTGTAATCCCAGCGCCTCCAACAGGAGAATCGTAAGTTCAATGCCAGCCTCAGCCACTTATGAGGCTCTAAGCAATTCAATGAGACCTAGTCTTTAAATAAAATATAAAACCAGGGCTGGGGATGTGGCTCAGTAGTTGAACACCCTTGGATTCAATCCCCAGTACCAAAAAAAAAAAGGAAAAACAGGGGCATAAAACTCTCCTCTGAAGACCTGCGGGAATGACCTGGCAAGAAAGGAATGTCAGTTCTAAAATTCCTGAGCTGGAGCTCAGCCAATTGTTCCCTCCCCTCTTCATTCTTCATACCGTGCCTCTAATTGGCCGGCTAGTTCCCAGGAAAACAATCACAAAATCTTAGCAGTGACTGGCCATGGCCTGCGAATGCTGAGGCTGCCCAGCAGCTGACCACACAGGAGAGCTAGGGAACAGGTCATGGTCCTAGGTAGCAGGCAAGTTCTCTACAATAGGTTCCTGGTGGAAAACTGAATCTTAGGGCAGAGGAAGGAGAGAAGAAAGAGGAGCTGCCCTGGGGCCAGATGTCTTACAGAAATTATTATATGAAGTCCTTGGCCCCAATACTTGAGGGGCAAGTTCCAAATTCAGATACCAAAAGTGAGTCTGGGTAGCTAAGTAATTGCTGTGGTTCCCAAAGCTGGCGAGTGGCAAGTGCCCTACATAAATGGAACCCGCCCCCAGCAATTCCACTCTCAGATATGTAGAATCCAGTAATGAGCACAAGAGCTCACCAAACTATGAAGGCAGGGTGCTCATATGATAGCCAGGCTGGACACAATCCACACACCCTTGGGGAGTATGGGTAAACTGGGGGAAAGTCATAGGAAGAATACTAGGCAGTTTCGTCTATTTCAAAATTGAAGAAAAATTTTAAATATCCTCACCATCAAAAAAAAAAAAAAAGGATAAACATAAGTATGTGATGTAATAGATGTTAGTTTGATTTAATCATTCCACAATATGTACATACATCAGAGCATCATATCATACCCCATGAATATTTACAATTATTGTCAAAAACAAAACGGATACCAAAGAATGTACAAACTACCCAGATAACTTGGCTGAACCTCACATCATGTGAAATTCAGTTCACACACACTTAAGAAATCTACAGTGTTGGAGTCAGGATGGTGGTTACCCCTGGTGGGTGGGGAGAAGGTCCCTAGGCGCTGGTCTAGTTCTGGGGTTTGGTCTGGGAACCGTTACATGAGTCTGTTCACTTTGTGAACCTTTACCTGCACCCACTTGGAGTTGGTACTGTTTTCAGTATGTATGTTGCACTTCCACAGAAAGTTTTTGAAAACTGAACCTTTAATGCTTATGTTTTCCTGCTTCACCACACTCCTGCATGGTTGGTAACTATGACACTAGTGATGACACAGAACAGGGCCCCTGGGGTGCTGGCCTTGAGGTCCAAGACTGGGCTCAAGTCCTGACTTGCCATATTCTAGTACCTGCCCTTCAAGGCAGGTACTAGAATTTAATATCTAGAATATCTAGAACTTATTTTATGATTTATCTGAAATTATTTTCTGATTTATCTGCATTTATCTGAGCATCAAGTATGTGTCACTGTTCTCTCGAATCCCTTCAACAGCTCTGAAAATTTAGGGATTCTCCATTTTATAGCAGAGGACCCAAGGACTAATGCAGTGAAGAGACACACAATTAGTAACAGCCACACTGGGATTCACATCCAGGTCTATGGGAACCAGAGTCAGAGCTCTATCTGGG